TCGCGTGACGTCAGTAGCGTACTCGCTCCAGGCGCCGTCGCCTGGCAGCCGGCGCCCGGGCGCGCGTACGCCGGTCCCTCGCCCCGGCTGGAGCGCCCTTCCAGCCCCGCCCCCCACACCGAGGTTCGGATCCCCGGCGTTCCACGTGGCTGTCACTTCTGAAGCCGCCGTCCACGTCCGAGAAGTTAAGTGGAGGCAGCGGTTGGAGGGTAAGAAAGCCGGGCGGAGGCGGCGTGGCGAGGTGCTGACCCTGGTCGTCCCGTTACCTTCTAGCGCGCCCCTCCCCCGTCGTTGGCCGCGGGCCCTGCGGCCGCCTCAGCTGCGGTTCGCTGCTTCCTCCCGCGCCGCGGAGATGTGGGCTGGCGGCGGCTCCCGCTGCAGGCGGTGCCGCGGCGGCTCAGAACCGGGCGTTCGGAGGCTTCCTCAGCCCAGGACTGCCCGCCTCAGAGCCCGCGGGCGCCGACCCACCGTCCCGCCAGCACACGCTCCGCGTCCGCCGAGGGCGGGCCCTGGGAAGGAGGGACGGAGGAAAACCCGTGTGAGATTCACCTCCTAAGTGGGTGTTCGAGATCGAAACGCGAAGGAAGCAAAAGAGCTGGGACAGGAACGGTGAGTGCGATGCATTTGCCAGATGACTGGGAGATGGATGGGGGCGCACTGGCAAGCTCTTGCAGTGGCTTAAGGCCCCAGTGTATTAATTGCCACTTTTAGTCCCGCCACGAGGCGGCTGTTCACCCCTACCCATTTTACAGATGCAAACACCGAGGCACAGAGGCAAAGAGAGTTGCCCAGGGTGACGCAGTGGAGCCCGGCTTGTGTCACGCTGAGCCCCAAGCCCTGGGTCACGGCTCTGTTCCGTGCCACCGAGACTGCTGGAGTTGGAAGGGGGCCTGTGGGTTCCCGGATGCACAGGAAGGGGGAGCTGTGGGGGGGCTTCAGGGAATTTGCACAGGGCAGCACCCTGCCCGCTGAAGCCAGAGAGGTGACAGAGCCAGGCTGCCCAGCAGCACTGTTAGTCCTTAGGCCTGTGGCTGTTTGCTTGTTGCATCACAAAGGCTTATGTGGCTCCAATCACGTGGACACCACAACAGTTCCACCTCTAGTCCCACAAGGGTCAGATAGGACACACCTAAGAGTCAGACAAGTCCTGGCTGGCCCGGAGGAGCCAGGGCAGGTCTCCCGTCTAGCCCTCCAAGATCTTCAAGCCGGTGTTTTGTCTTAGACGCTGGGTGACTCTCAGACAAAAACAGGAGTTTGGCCGCATTCTGACCCAGGTGCTGAAGCAGGTGCAGAACTTTGGAACCACGCCCATTTTATGTTGCATCCAGGTGTAAGACCAGATGGCTCCTTTACTACAAAAATGTAAGACAGGTGTCTGCTGAAGAACTAGGCCGAACCGCCACATTGCACATCCTAAGCAAGTCCAAGGCCCTCCTGGGATTTCTGGGAGGTTGAGGCAACTTCTGTTCCTATGGTCACCTATGGCTCTTGACCTCTGCTTCTGGGCTGCTGCCTCCGTTCTGCACTGACGCAAATGGAAAATGTAGACCCCTCTTCGATTTCCACCGAACACCTGATTTATAAACTGTTGTAGAAAATGTCACAGAAGCTGGAGATGGGGTGAAGCAAAGGAATAGTTCCTCAGGTTCCTGCGATACAAAATCCTCAAACTGTATGCCGCCTTGCCCTGCATCTTAAAATAGTATTCAGCCACCTCCTCGCCCACAAGGAAGGTGGCTGTTCTTCCTGGGAGTGAGTCCTCAGTTTCACACTCCATCTCACAGGCTCCTCCCTCTCCTTTTCTCCTCTCACCTCTTTCCTACTCCTCAGATTACCTCTGGGAATCCCAAATCTTTGAAATCCATTATAGATTCATTTGGTTCCCCAGGAAAACTTGTCTCCTGAGGAGCACACTCCAAATCCACGAAGGGACTCAGCACACCTTTTGGGAAGACAAAAAAAAAATATTTTCCCTTGTGTTAAAAATGGCAACGTTAATTGAACACTTACAATAATAATAGTAATATTTATAGAGGACTGACTGTGTGCCAGGCACAGTGCTGAGCATTTTATGTGCCTTATCCCATTTAAAAATCAGAATCTCAGCAAGTGTTGGTCTTGTCCTGCCACCCCACTAGGCCTGGGGTAGCCAGCCCAGCCCCCAGCTGGCTGACCCCATCACAGCCCATCCGGGCAGTCCACTCCATGGTTTCAACCTGCAGATGTCTGCCAGCTTGGGGGCTTTGCTGTTTTTGCCTATCACTAGGTCATCAGCTAACCTAGGATTTCTTAACCTCAGCACTATTGCCATTTGGAGCTGGAAAATTCCTTATAGTTGGGGCTGTCTTGTGCATTGCAGGAGGCAATGCTGTGTTAATAGAAGCTTATTAATTTTCATGGCATTCCCTGGAAGAATATAAGTTCAACCTTTTTTTTCCCTTTAATATTAATGCTGGTTCATAGAAACTCAAGAATCTGAGAACTTTTGCCCCAGCTCTGAAAATCCATGATTCTGAGTAGGTATTTGAAAGAAGAAGGTACTTCGCTTGCCTGCTGACCTTTTGATGAGGTTTCAATGACATCATTGAAATTAAGCTGCCCCAACAGCCTTCCTGGGAAGTATCCATTTCAAGGGTAAAGGCTGTTGAATACTGGAAGATGTAAAACAAGCATTCTCACCAACTAGAGAGAGGCATGGATCACTTCTGCTACTAAACTCTGAGTCCTTCCTGGTGACCAGCAAATAGGATGAGAAAGACAAAGCATGTGAACATGGGGAGTTTGGAAGTAGGGCGAAAACCAACTTGATAAAAATATATTTATATATTCCTGTGAAATAATGCAAAGATAGCAAAATGTGAAAAGCAGAGGAGTTTAGAATGATTGCCTGAAAACGATACATTAAACCATTTTGTGAACTGTCAGAATTCAAATTCATTTTTGAGCATCCAGCATGTGCCAGGTTCTGGGGATACTGAATGAATAGGACAGAATCCCTGCCTTTGGGGGTGCCAGGTCCAGGTGGATGCAAACACATACCTACAGAACTGATGTTAAGAACTCTCCCCTCTCCCCTCTCCCCTCTCCCCTCTTCCCTCTTCCCTCCCCCTCCCTCTCTAAAATAAAATTAAAAGAGAAAAAAGCTAGCTTTTATGTTGTAGGAAACAAAAGCAATTGTTTTAAATAGTGAAGGCAATAGAAACCTCAGCCCTCCCAGAAATGATGATACAGTTCTTTATTTGTAGGGTGCTAACATTTTCCAAAGAGTTTTTCAATTACTACAAGACTTAATATCCCATCCTTGTGCTACCTTTTCAGGGGTAACAGTTAGGCAATATGTCTGACATGTTTTAGAAAAACTAAAGACACTAAACACAGAATAGTTTTAATAGATTAGAATATTTCAGCTCCTCATATGTGCACCATTCTTGTGCTCATAGGGCCTTTGTGGAGAACTGCACTGCCCTCTGCTGGGCATAGTTCTTACTTTGCAATCTTAAAATACTCTTTAGCTCTGCTATACAGTTGCCAAAAACTGATATTTTTATTTTTTTGTTGTTGTTAATATTTGCATCATAGCATGAGTAATACTTTATTCACTGGTACTTTCATGAACATTTACATCTAATACATTGAAGTGTTTAAGAAAAAAAGTGTTGCGTTTGAAGATTTA